TGATAACTTGACAAAGGGAATCTGATAGAAAAAAAAGCGTCAGTTGTCTAATTATGTTTTTAATTTAAAAATAAATATTGTAATATACACCGGAAAATATATATCTTTCAAATATTAATAAAAAAAAGAACGTGGTTCCGAAAAATCTATGAATTTCACCTTCAACACTTGAAGTCGGTTTGTATAGTATTTCATATATTTCAAGGTTTCCGAATGTTGAATTCTCTCACAAATGGATGTATTTTATGCAAATAAACGGAAAATATATATTTATGTCAACGTTGTTATTGTGTGTTCGTATTGTGACGTGGCACAGTCGGCATGCGGCTCTACAAACATAGAGTCGAAACATCAAAAATTCATACAAATAAATGTGTAGTTTTTAATTTGATACAAGAATTGATTTCAGATACCGTATTTTTTCTGAAGAGATATAATGTTTAATTAATTTTTTTTGCTCATTATCTGTAAACACAGCGTCAATGCAGTCATCATGAAACATGAGATGTAAGTCACAATCAAACATAATAGTAGCTATACTAACCACTCTTCAAACCACAACACGAGTCTTGTTCGCGCCAGATATAGGTAGCAATAAATAAATACACTCTATTGTATAGATCTTACTCTTCAGACTTGTCGTATCACATGACAAAAGTATGTTAAAAGTGACTCCATTATGTATGACGTCATTTGGGGCCAAGATAATATATTTTTTTTAAATTGTTTTATGACCTGGTTACTGAGACCTTTAAGTCATGTCTTATTTTTAGTTTATATTCTTATTTTTATGAAAAATGATAATATGGAGTGAAACGAAATGAAATGAAGATGATTAATTTGAGATATTAATCTATTGGGATGAAATGACATGATATGGGGATGAAACATAATCTTAGTAAAACGGTGGTCATTTACTGAGAATTTTTTCAGTGGACTTTTTGGAGGATCTCGAGAAGTTACGTCCAGAGGCTTTGTTTCATTTTCCCACATTTGTGCACTTTCACAGATATTAAACAGATAATAAACCACCGTTATTAAACATTTAAACCTGAAGAAACACTAAATAGACAAAATAAAACAAATCACACAACTTCACTCCTCGCGCTCCCGCCAAAAAGTCCGGGCCAAAATATATATATTTTTTTTAAGAGATTTTATGACCTGGTAACTAAGACCTTTAAGTCATGTCTTATTTTACTTTAAATTCTTAATTTTATGAAAAATGATAATATGGAGTGAAATGAAATGAAGATGATTAATTTGAGACATTAATCAACTGGAATGAAATTTAATGAAATGAAATGATATGGGATGAAATATAATCGCAGTAAAATGGTGGTCATTTACTGAGATTTTTTCAGTGGACTTTTTGGAGGAACCCGAGAAGTTACGTCCAGCAGCTTTGTTTCATTTTCCCACATTTGTGCACTTTCACAGATATTAAACGGTTAATAAACCACCATTATTACACATTTAACCCGAAGAAACACTAAATAGACAAAATAAAACAAATCACACAACTTCACTCCTCGCGCTCCCGCCAAAAAGTCCGAGGCCAAAATAAATCACAATACAACCATAGATTATACACGTCGATTGGCCATACATGATATAGGATGTGATTGTTAACAAACATTACAATTAATCTTAAGTATTTAGTATTTAGTGGTTTCAAATATAACCAATTAATATTTAAAGAAAATAGTGATTATGCAATCTCTTGAATTTAATTATCAACTCGCTCAGTTTACTGCATGTTACATTGTTTTATTATTGTTATCCGGTCGCCCGAATGTAATATAAAATGTAATAAAAGCCAACTCAAAGTCGCGTAGGACAATTAAAAAATATGTTTTGCATACATAATAAGGACGTCTTGTTAAAACTAGTTTTATATTTCGAGTCGGTGGAAAAAAAACATGGCTTGAAATGTTGATTGATAATTGAATCCTCGAAGATTTAATACAAGGCTTTAAACAAAGCTACATGATATATGTATGTATGTATGTGTACATATATGCATATGTATTTCACTGGAATGGTACACCGCGCGTAGTTCGTTTCCAAATGATTCTTGTCCACCTGATGGTTGTCCGGATGAGATCGCTCTTAGTGATAAAACCGCCAATTGCACTTTTTTGTGTTTAATGTATCGCACTGTTTATTTGTTTTTTGGTGTACAATAAAGAATACTCTCTCTCTCTCTCTCTCTCTCTCTCTCTCTCTCTCTCTCTCTCTCTCTCTCTCTCTCTACACAGTTCCAAGACAGAGTATTACGTGGCGGATTGCCGGTTGATTTTTCTGCGTGTTTCTGCCAAAACGCAGCTCGTCTAGGATAGATTACTAGCACTACGCATCTTAGACCCATGATTAGATTCGTCTCCCAACTCGTGTTAGCCGTAGTCCATAGACCACATTGAATATCACTGACGTTAATCCGGTCACCGTCCTTGTCGAACCCGCCGCTTGCGACGAAGGGCTCGATGAGCGAATTAACCCATAGACACAGCCCACTGAGTTTCTCGTCGGATCTTCTTAGTGGGTCGCGTTTCCGATGCATGTATCCGATGGTAGATTCTGCGAAGCACTGCTCTTGCTAGGGTCAGTGTTAGCATCACTCCGGTTTGAGCCCCTTGAGCTCACCTAGACACGTTAGGGCGAAGCTGAAATAGCCTCTCAAGGCTATCAGCATAAGTAGGAAAAAAAAACCGACGTTAAGAAGCGCTTAATAATAATTTTTTCTAAATAAGTACATGGCTATGTAACATTCGCGACTATGTATCGTAACGAAGAAAACCCGTAAATTATGGAACTTTGAAATTATCGCTACGATATTTCTGAGCTTGCGACCGTGAAGATGTAATAATGTAAAGTAAAACTACATCCGCGCCTGAGCTTAAGCGTAACTTCTCTTCGCTTCTGGAAGCTAATCTGAAAGACGAGGTCACTAACCCGTTATCCGTTATTTGATTTCGCATCAAACACTAGCCCAATTTTTTATTTTTAGTTTTATTGCTTAGGTGGGTGGAAGAGCTCACGGCCCACCTGGTGTTAAGTGGTTATCGGAGCTCATAGATTGCTACAACGTAAATGCCACCGCCCACCTTGAGACAAGAGTTCTAAGATCTCAGTTTTAACAGTGCAATAGCTGCCCCGCCCTTCAAACCGAAACGCATTATTGCTTCGCGGCATAAATAGGCAGGGTGGTGGTAGCCGGTGTGGACTCACAAGACGTCCTACCACCATTAAAAATTTAGTATTTGGTATTTCATCAATATTTTTAATTGTGTTTTCTCTTAAACAGTAATCTGACATTGTACATAGATTATGGAGTCTATCAGCGCAATTTTCGACAAATAAGTAAAAATTTTATAATCCATTAATTTAGTTCAATTTTTACCACTGGCAACACTGATCATAATGAAATCGTTAACCGCCTTTTTGTTTGTGCGTTGTTAATTACTAATATCAGTATAGGTTGGCAATGCCGCTACGAACCTAGAAGCAGACGTTCCATCCTATATTTTCAATGTTAGGAGTACTCGTGATTCTATTGCTCTGAATCAAGATAACAGCTGAATGTTCATAAAACGGGTCGAGTGTTTTTACAACTATACAGCAATAAAAACGAGAATAGACTTGTTCAAAATGAATTAGTTTATTTGGTTTTTTTATTATTACCGAATAGAAAACGAGCATAGCAAACGCAGATGTAAGCTTTTTGTTTATTTAATTTTTATTCAAACAAGGCAAACGGGTCTAAACTGTACGGCTTGGATACCATAGCCATGGGGATGTCAACAGGTACCTATCGGCATTATTCACTTGAAATACTCTAAGAGAATATATTGGCAAGTGGAAGTATATACTTTCAATATTGGAATGTCATCGAACAAAAGCGCGTCGAATTAGCGATGTCATCCCATAGAACATGCAATTTTTAATACGCTTTTATTAGTTTCAGACGTATGTATGTTTGTAACGGAATCTTTGAACATGATTTTGAACCCCTTCAAAATGTCGGATTAACTCGAAATTTGGTATACTTATTAAGAACCGATGACATATCAATATTTAAAAAAAAATGAAAAAAAAATTGAAAATATTGAAATTCCACTAAAAAATGAAAAATAAATAATAGTTTAAAAAAACTTTCAGGATATTATCAAAATAGCCCTTCTACTCATATCTGTTCATAAAATATTTATAACTACTGATACCAAGCACCCTACGCTTTTTTTACAATTAAATCATTTTTTCTTACACTGTTTTTAATTTAAATTTATTAAGATTTATTATCTATTTTTTTGGTTGGATTTTCTACAAAAGCGTTTTTTTTTGTTTTTTTTTTTTAATTATTATTTATTGTTAAAACAAATTCATTTACAACAATGAAGTTTTAAAACGCTGTGTATTTAAAGAATAACCTATCATTAAAATATGCCGACTGTTTTTTATCTTTTAATCGCGATATTTTTACAATTCTTTATTGTCTTTATCTAAATTGTTATAGGAAGGGTCAGAGAACCGTTATAATCTCCATTATGTCCTAAACCAGTTGATACCCAATGTATCTGAGAGTTTAATCCCTTAAGAGCTCCCTTCCCGCTAATGATCCGTTTATTTTATACCGTTACTGGTCAGGTAACCGCTTAGCATCATGAGAGTTTTGAGCTAGTCTCTCTACCGGTGCTAATAAGCATGATAAGTCATTATGTTACATAATTAAAACTGTTTGCATAAAATAAAAATTAATAAAACTTATTGTACTAAAACAACACTTTGAAACCAAAAAGGTTTTAATTATTTTATTTAAATTTCATGTGAAAAAGATGTCAGATAATAAAAATTTATATTTTATATTTTAAATGATGTTATCTATAAAACAAAATTGAGGCGTGCTTAATTAAAATATACAAACGTAATAATGGGCAAAGATCGACCCTTTAGCAAAAATCTTTTGCATTATGAAAAGAAAAGAAAAAAAAATCACAAACCTGTCACTCTTTCCCGCCTTTTCCGCGTCAGTTTCCACAACACGTCCGTTCATTATCATTAACACATCACTGTTCCTATAAGATATTGAATAAAATGAATTTAAGCAATAAACTTTGATTTACGATTAAAATTTAATACAAAACTTTGTTTAATAATTTAAAAAGCGAATTGATATGTTTTTGATTTAAAATCCTAGCGTATTTTTTATTTATTTAATCATCGAACACAATCGCCTTTTGCTTTAATCCCAGTGAGTTTATTAATTTAGTTAATTTTTTTAAATATTCCTTTAATACGTAGTTCTAAAAGTTTGTTTTTTAACGTAAAAGTAAATAAAAGGAAAATTGAGACGTCCATTCGTCTCAGGACGCCATGCGTTTGTGTTGAGTTCACTTCGGATGCGGTGAGGCCGGACGGCGCATAGATTAAGTTGTTTTAGTGTAGACGGAGCCTTAAAGAGAGAGATTACTCTACAATTGGGATGAAGCAGTCCCGTTTCAAAGGAGGAGAGGAGGAGGAACGTGAATCTCCATGATGACCTGGAGCTCGACTCTGTCAGTAAGTATATACAGTCGGCATCGCTGCGCCACTTCGAGAAGGCGGCACGACATGAGAACCCTCTTGTCGTGGCCGCTGGAAACTACATATCCGATTCTGTAGACTGAATGGCAAACCGTCGACGTCGCCCAAAGCACGTCATTGCGGATCCTCCTGATCCATTAACGGTGCTTTTAGGCACCACAAGCATCGGTCACCGTCCTCGTAGAGGTCGAGAGCACTCCGGTTTGAGCCCCGTGAGCTCCTACACGTTAGGGCAAAGCTGAAATAGCCTCTCAAGGCTATCAGCATAGGTAGGGGAAAAAAAGGTACCTATGTACTCAATTATACAACACTCTGCGCTTTCACGATCTCAAAGTGATAATAATAATTTGACTTCAAAATATTAAAAAACTGAAGCGATTACGACACACTGCATACTTATTATTTTAAATAATAACGAAAAAGATTGAAAGTAGAAGTAATTTGTTCGTGTATCGATACTAATATACTGATTTTGAAAGCTTTGAATTAAGTTACTATTAATTAATTTGTGTTGTTAGGAAATAGTCAGAAGTGAATCTGAAGTAATAGCTGTGTCACCATGGAATCTTGTAGCTATGACTTTTAGAACATGGTCTGTAGTATTCACTCATTATATTTTATCTAATTTTCCATTCCTAGCTGTATTGCTAATATGAACTATGGACTCGTGCGTTGTAAATACGTACTATTCTGTCATTTTCGGTCATTATCCTGTCCTGTCCTAACAGCCGCCTGCTGTAGTGGTAAGTGACATGATCACTACACAAGGGGGTCGCGGGTTCGAATCCCGCTAAGGGAAGATATTTGTATGATAAATATAAAATGACTTTTCCAGGGCTATGGATGTATATTAAATATTATTATAATGTATGTGTATAATAAAAAAAAAAACTTAAATTTATTTCCGTTATCTGGTACCTGTAACACAAGTTCTTTACGAACTTAGCATGGGACCAATTAACGTGGCGTGATTGTTAGTAAAAAAAAATAAAAAAACCGTTTTTATAATTATACTGTGACCTTAGAACTTATATCTCAAGATGGATGGCGCATCCACGTCGAAGATGTCTATGGGATCTAGTAACCCCTTAACACCAAGTGGGCTGTGAGCTCGTCCACCCATTTAAGCAATAAAAAAAATAAAAAACTTCAAAATAGAATTTTCATTTTAAAAGAAAATTTTTAATACGCAAATAATATTGTCTATCTGAGTGTAAATATTCTATGAAAGAAACCAGTTGCTTTGCCCGGTCTCGGAGTGTAGTGCGCGCGCCGCATATTGCTTACGGTACTGTTGTGGTGTTGTCTCATCAAAGGCGATCAAATAATACAGAATAGCGCGAGTCGGCAAGTCGTCAATTGGTACACAAAGCCTCTCCCATAAATTTTCCGGGCGACTGGATTCCTTTGCTTTTAGAATGTATTAAGAATATTCGAGATAATCTTTATTAAAAAAAAGTGTGTATGTGTGCAAGACACACACGGTAGAAGTGAAATTTATAAATAAGATATAGATATACTGACTATCCTACTACACAGGAGCATATATGGACAATGTTTAGTAGACAATAGTGGGGATGCTACGAAGAGTCGCACAAAGAGGAGACCGAGAACGTCTAATGTGTTCTATCTCATTCTCTCGCCGGCCGAATCCTATACATTTATGTGTTTTTGTCTCTATGGACTTATTTTTTCGTTTCATTGAGTTTGAAATCACAACGATTCTAAAGAAGTTTCACTTCAACAAGACGGTTTCCAAGCTGTTTGTTGATTAATGTTTGTTTTCGATAACGTCTTGCTTTAAATTTATTGATTTATAATTGTTTAATTTATTAAAAAAACATTCGTAAATTAAAAAGTATCAAACAACAGAACAGTCATTATGTATAGTTCAAATCATGTTAATCTATAGATATTAATTGCTCGTTAATAGCTACTACGTAAAGAAACACAACACAAATACCTCTAAAAATGTATGTTCGTTTTATGCAATACATTTTCACTTTTAGAGTTATGCACATTTTGAAAGAAAAAAATTGCGAATGTGCATAGACAGGAGAAAGTGGAACTTTACTGTTAGTTTAACTTTTCTGGGATACCCCGCTGGGCCAGAACCAGCCTAGAGCGATGGGGATAGGGCGTGGTGATAGCGGGAGGAGATGCCCTTCGTCTGAAACACCACACCTTACCCCTCTGCTCGGTTCGAGTCGATGTCTTTTTTTTTTTTTTTTATTGCTTAGATGGATAGACGAGCTCACAGCCCACCTGGTGTTAAGTGGTTACTGGAGCCCATAGACATCTACAACGTAAATGCGCCACCGACCTCGAGATATAAGTTCTAAGATCTCAGTATACTTACAACGGCTACCCCACCCTTCGAACCGAAACGCATTACTGCTTCACGGTGGAAATAGGCGGGGTGGTGGTACCTACCCGTGCGGACTCCCAAGAGGTCCTACCACCAGTGATTACGCAAGTTATAATTTTGCGGGTTTGATTTTTATTACACGATGTTATTCCTTCACCGTGAAAGTCAACCGTGAACATTTGTTGAGGACGTATTTCATTAGAAAAATTGGTACCCGCCTGCGCGAATCGAACACCGGTGCATCGCTACATACGAATGCACCGGACGTCTTATCCTTTAGGCCACAACGACTTATGAATCGGATCAGATTTCGATAAAAAAAAACTTTAATATTGTTTTCGATTATAAACACTTTTATAGTTTACTTAACTGTAACAGACATTGTTATTTAGCGATAAATCTTTTACTTTTGTATTTAAATTTTGTAGTTGTTACATGTTTAAATTTAAATTTGAGAAATAATATACAAATATGTGTTAGCTAGTATAACAGCAGTACCATTACAAGTTAAGATCGAGGATTGACACCAAATGATCATCTCGATACATTCCCACGAACGGAACAAATGTGCCGCGTGTGACTGACAGACGGCCTTAACGATTATAAACCGTTCTTATTATTGCGATACTTTATTTATGTTGTTCCTTTTGTTTGTTGTACAAAGTGTTCGAACTTGTGATCATTAATTAATCTAAGATACGGCTATAGTTTAATTTTCCTTGCGTGGGGACTGGTATTTATTTGGCTAGCTTTTCTTACTACTTCTTCTTCTTAGTCGAATACTTCATTGCTGAAGGTCGTGTCCTTGAAAGCCCTTCGTGGCTCTCTGTACCCTCAGCTTCCATTTGCTTCGGTTTTCGGCTTCTCTCGGGGCGTTCGTAACAGAGAGTCCAGTGAGCGCAGTTATCTGATCCGACAAACGGTTTGCTGGCTGGCCGGCGGGTCTTTTCCCTTCCACCTTGCCCACCACAATCAACCAAGAACCTTCTGGCAGCAAATCGTCGACAGTCTCGTTTCTATACGAAGTTGCTCGAGGACAGATTTGTTTGTTCTCTTGGCGGTCCACGGTATGCGGAGCATTCTTCGCCAACACCACATTTCGAACGCTTCTATTTTTTTCCGCTCTATTGTTCGAATCGTCCACGACTCTGCACCATAGAGGAAAATCGAGAAAACCAACGTTCGGACTAGTCTCATCTTGGTACTACTAGTTATACCGAAATTCGCAGAAGAACTGGTTTGAATGACACAGCCAAAGCGATTGCTTGGAGAAAGTGGAAGTGGGTCGGCCACATATGACGTCACACTGACAATCGATGGCGCACAAAAGTACAGGAGTGGAGACCTCGTACTGAACGTCGTAACGTGGGCGGACAGCCAACGAGGTGGACCGAGGTCCTGGTCAAAGTGGCTGATAGGGACTGGATGCGGAAGGCAAGAGACCGAAGAAAATGGGGTGCATTCGAAGAGATCTACACTCAGCATTGGGTCGACACGGGTTGAAGAAGAGTACTTAAGTAAGTTAATACTTGTATTAACTATAGTAAAATATGTTAATCAGAAGAGATGAGCTCAAACGGACAAGGAGTGCTGAAAAACGGAGCTATGTGGACGTGCTAGAGACTTGCAATGGACTAGCGTGAGCTGATGATGATAAATACCCGAATTACAGGGCATCTTGTTTTAAATGACCACTGGACTCTCAGTGCATTCACTCAAGGCACGAGATTTAAGACTCTAATTTATTCTAAAAGTAACGACAGGCCTTTCAAATGCATTACTGTGCATGTGCATTCAGACATGGATATCTTCTTCTTCATCTCCCACTAGGTGGGGTCGGTACAGCGAGTTTTTCTATTCCATTCTCTTCTATCAGCCGTCTGTTCAACACTCACTACTCTCTCTCTCATATCGGCATTCACACACTCCATCCATATCTTCTTCGGTCGACCTCTTCTTTTTATTTTGCCTTTATAAGCAGACGAGCATATGATCTACCCGACGGTGAGTGATAACCGTCGCTCAGGTCACCAGCAATATATTCGAAAACTATATGGAAAACGTCCATTTATTAAATTTGCTGTCCATCACTTGTCTTTCGTTGATGGTAACATCGTCGTCTGTAATAGTTATATTAAAGAAAACTTTCCAAGAATCCCAAATACAACTATAATAAATTTCAAAACAAGATTTATTTACGAACTAGCACACTGCTCCGGCTCCGCTCAGGTCTTTAACAAATATTTCAACGACGTTGTTTTATTTTTTTAAATAAAAGAACACTTATTGCGGCATAACTATAATAGTTCGACATATACTGTCGCGACACTTTTTGTAAATAATAATGTGTTCTACAAAGTCGTAGTACATTATTTTATTCTATCATCAATAGTTTTCGCAGGGCACGCGA